TTTTTAAGTTTTACTGAATTTTGATTTTCCAATAAAATATTGTCACTCTCTTTTCTTCAAGTACTAAATTTTTTTACTTTTATTTGTCCTTTTCTTCATTTTATTTATTTGTAAAGAATATTATTGTTGAAATTTTCAACTTTTCTGTTTTTTGGGTTTCAGAAAGAATTTTGATTTTATTCATCTTCTCCTAGCAGAAATATTTGTTTTGGAGAAAAAAACGTATTATAGGGTAAGTTCGGGAACAATGGACCACATTTTGGAAAACATGCTGTAAAATCATCATCTTTATTCCAATTTAAACCACAAAGGTTTTTTTCTCATAAGTCAACTTATAACAGTTGTAAAATAATAAACACATTCTTTTAAATATATAAAAAAAATAATATATTATTATATACATCAACCAACTCTTATAGTTACTCATTTTGTTCTATAGATTATTGATCTTAAATTTTTTTTTATTATGTATGTATTAAATAGTTTTTTATTTAATTTTTTTATTTTACTTTTCGGTGTCCCAAAAATTTACCTACTATTCAAATAGGGACCTCTGTTAGTTTTATTAAATTTTTTTTTACTTTTGTTTAAAAAAAATAATTAAGCGATTTTAGTGCTGATTTTAATTTGTATTTGCGTTTAGTAACCATACGGTCCAATATATCCCACTCTCCTGTAACAGAAACCAAAATTTTGATAAAAAAAATCGAAAATGCTATCAATTATTTCAATTTCGAATCTACAAATAGGTTTCAGGTTTTTTTTTTTTCATTTTTGAGGGTATATGTCTTTTTGTGAAAATTCACTTAAATGTAACCATAAATTATTATAACTGTACTTTTTGAATTTTTTCTATTGAAAATTGCTTTTATTTTAAAACCAGAATCACGAGAATTATTACGTTTGCTTAAAAAATTTTCATACAGTTGTCAGCTTTATAAATAAATTCGTTTAATTGATAAATTTCAGTTTCCTCGAATGAAATTTGCAAAACCGCTCATTCATATTTTTCCACAAATCAAAATGCCACTGCGATAAACTCCTTTATCGCTTCAGTCGGCCTGTTTTCGGTCATAAAAATCCACGACACGACTGCCAACATAAAATTCCGACGATAAGTCCAACCACAACCGAAGACCTCTCCAACTAATAAAACTCAAAACCGCACACAACATCTACCGCTAATTATTTTTTAAACGTCGCCATCATTCATTTCAAACTTTATTACAATACATTTACATCAATCACAATTTATTCTCTCTCTCATTCTCAAATCGAATACACGAGAAACTCATCTTCAACAATCTTCATTTGAATCCATTTATCCGAATCGATGTAACTATGCGGCTCAATTTGGGCCACCTCCCATTCGTGACCGGGCAATTGCTTACTCAATATCGCAAAGACGGCCCTGGGCACCACATCCGACTCGTAGGTAAAGTAGGCGTCGATCAGGGCCTTCCTGATTGTGGAAATTTCGCTGTCTTTGAGGTTAGCGGAACCCACAATGTCAACCTGAAAATATTGTAGTATCCATGGAAACGCTATTAAAGCACCGAAAACGATTGTATCCATGGAAACGCTATTAAAACACCGAAAGCAATTGTATCCATGGGAACGGTATTAAAACACCGAAAGCGGTACCAAAATGGACTTACATGAACGTCGCCGTGGAGGACCTTGGTGGTGGTGTTTTTACCATCGGCACCATGGGTGATGAAGGTATACTGGGCGGCGTAGTTTTTGTCATCGAAGACAAATCCGGTTTTTCCGTGTTTGATTCCGGTGAAAATTTTATGTGATTTTGTGATTGGTACCTCTTTGATGTTGTTACTAACAAAAACGGTACCATTGTTTACTGTTGAAATGCTTCCAGCGACTACGACTTGTTCTTCGGTTGCGATTTTGACCAATTTTTCAAAATCGGCTTCTTTCAGCGTTGCGTCTTTGGTGATGGTTGCCTGAAATTTTGATTGAGTTTTTCATTTTGGAAAAATTGGTACCACTTACAGAATTGACAGGGAAATTAAGGGTCGCAGCTACGACTTCTTTTAAATTACCATTTTCGTAATTTTTTCCCATCGACATGATAATAGAAACATTCAGTTTGTGTTCGTTGACCAATCGAACAAACTCATGTAGTGTCTTAAGTGTGCTGAAATTTCCAGGATAGTGCGATTTTTCCAATTTCTAAAAGCAAATTTGAGATTTTTTCACGCAACATGTTTCGAGACTTACATATTCAGGTTTGTAATCTTTGTAAACTGTTTTTCCCCTAGTCAAAACTAGGAGGAACGAAAATAAGACAAAGACACGGACCAGCATGATGTCTGACTGAATTCTAATCAAAAATTTGTGGTAACAGCCGTTTTATTCGCGGGTTAAGTGTTATCGACAAGGTCAGGGATGCTAAACAGACCAAAAATTTATTATGCAACTCGTGCTCGATAGTGTCGAGGTCAAGATAACATTTTTTTTTTGTTTGTTTATCCCAGAAGCATAATACTTATATTGACATGCCTAGACAGACAGAGAGAGAAAGAACAAAATGATAAAAGGAGCAAATAAAAAGAAAAAGGAGAGAGAACGAGAGAGAAAATAAAATAAAGAGAAAGAAAAAGAGAAAAAGGACCAATTCTTTTGATTACACAAAATGTAAAATATCTAAATATACAACCGACGGTGAGAAAGACAAAAACAAACGAGAGAAAAAGTAAGGAAAAGTAAAAGAGGGAAGGAAAGTAGAAAAAAGAGAGAGAGAAAAAAGGATAGAAGTAAAGAGAACGAAAGAAAAGTATAGTACAACCTCGATTATCGGAAACTCTTCTTTAATATTTACTCTAATATTAAAAAAAAGAGCGAAAAAAAAGAAAGAGCTGGAAAGAAAGAAAAAATAAAAAAATTATAAAAAATTAAAAAAGAGTGATAACGAGAGAGACCGAGAATATGATAGAGAGGAACAGAGAAAGACAAAGAGAGAGAGAAACATATTAAAATAAAGAAAGAAGGAATAAGAAAGACACAAAAAGAAAGAAGATAGAAAGAGAAAAACTAATAAAAAAAACGAAAGAAAAGTATAGACAACCTCAATAATCCGAAACTCCTCTTTAACATTAACTCAAATGTGTGCTCTATTGTATTTCTTTAATTTTTTTTGTTATATTTTCAGAAAAAGTTTGTTTTATTTTTTTCTGTACTTAATTTTTTCATCTACAGAGGCGTATTTAGAAAATTTGGCCGTCTAAATCTAGTACCAGTGTTGCCAACTGACGTCATAAAATCCAAAATCGACGTTAGAGAGAGGGAAAGAAAATACGCAACAAAAAAAGGAGAACGATAGAAAAAAGAGAGAGAAAGAGAGTAAACTAGAAAGAAAGAGGAAAAAAAAACAAAAAGAAAGAGAAAAGGGAAAAGAAATGAAGGAGAGATATCTGACTCATTCTTTTGAAAATACAAATATCTAAAACCAAAACACACACAAAATAAAAGGAGAGAGAAAGAGAGAAATAAAAAAAGAGAAAAAGAAAGACACAGAAACAGAGAACTTGAAAATGTACAGTAGAACCTCGATTATCCGAAACGCTTCTTTAAAATCTACTCTAATATGTGAAAAAAAGAGCGAAAAAATAAGAAAGAGAGATAGAAAGGAAGAAAAAAATGAAAAAAAAAATGAAAAAAACACAAAAAATAAATAATAGGGAGAATGGAAAAAGAGATAGAGAGAGAGTTTTTTCTTATCTCCTTTTTGCTTTTATTTTTTTCGACTACAGAGGTGTATATAGAAAATTTGGCCCTTTAAATCTAGTAAAATGAGCAACAAAAAAAGGTGAAGGATAGAAATAAGAGAGAGAAAAATGAAGAAAAACAAAGAGGGAGAGAGAGAGAAAGAAAAAGTCAAAATATCTAAAACCAAACACACACAAAGTAAAAAGAGAAAGGGATATAAAAAAAGAGAGAAAGAAAGAGATAGAAATAGAGAATGAGATAAAGTACAGTAGAACCTCGATTATCCGAAACTCCTCTTTAAACCGGAGTTCTATTGTATTTTTACGTACAATAGTTTTCATTTAATTGAAAATATTCCTTCTTTATTAATTTTTACTGTGTCTGTGGCTTTAAATCAGACATATTTAACTCCTGTTTCAAAAGGATTCAAATTTTGGTCTAATTTGAGATTGAAATTCAAAAAAAAACTTTATTTTGTAAATATTGTACATTATGCATTTGACCTGTTGAGGTCAAAAGTCACTGTTAAAAAACATTATTTATTGCATTGATGATATTTTTGGATTTAATATACGAAAACCAAACAAAGTCTAGGGTTTTAAATTAGGTCCAAAGGAAATCAATTGGGCATAAATCGGGTATAAGAGTGGCCGTTCGGCTGGTTTTAATCATAAATCAAGTGGAGTTAAATCGGGCAAATTTGCTTCCAGTTTCAAAATAAAAAAAGCTATACTTATGTAAATTATCCGAATATGCAGTTGCCCTGTTGAGGTCAGGGGTCACTGTTAAGTATTATTTATTGCATTTATTGCATCCTTGACGATATTTTTGGGCGAAGACCAAACAAAATCAAGTGGTTTTAAATCGGGTCAAAAGCGCCACCCACTTGACTTTATTACACTAATCGCAAGATTTCCTCTCAAATCATCAACAAATCAGTGATACCACCCGTAAAATTTACTTTTGTTTCGATTGGAAGCTTTTATTCCATCCGAATCGATTTTTTGTAATTACATAATTTATTATTTCGTTTTCAATGATAACAAATCAAATCAAGTTCGAGGGGTCAGTGATAACCGATGTATTAAATCGGCCAATGGGCAAAAACTGCACTCAGTTTCGAGATGTTGTTGAAAATTGTCATTGTTTTGGTGGCTTTAACGGCCACTATTGAGGGGGCCTCCAAGCCTTTGAAACGGATGCGGAAAGACTTGTCTTCCCTCCCGTTGAAGCTAAAAAAAGACCATTTTAGCACTCTAGTGCGGAAAAGACGAGAGACGGAAGATGAGGAAGTGGTGATTGAAGCAATAGATGTGGAACCCATTGATATGATTAAATTTTTTGTAAGTCTTTTGGGGTTTTTCACTTTTGTGAATTGGGGGATTTTAGATTGCGGAAGCGTGGGAGGACGACAAGTTGGGGATGTTGGCCGAATATATGACAGATGAGAGTGACCACGAGTCGAATATGACAGTCATAGGTTGGCAACGTGTGTTTGACGAAACTGGAAAAATCTCACAGTTGGTAACCGTGCAAATTGTAATTCCCCCAAAACCGTTGACTGAGATTGACGTTGCACGCACTGACGATGACGATGACGATGATGACAGTGACGAAGACGATGAACGGCTTTTGCCACACGATGATATCAACGAAATGAAAGAATTGTTTGAACCAATGGCACGATTGGGGATTCCCCTAAGTATGACAATGGAGTCGTACGACAAAAAGGGTAAATGCGAGTCGTTGTTGTACATGGATAAAGATGAGTTGGTAAGCCTGACGCGCATTTTGAGTTTAGGGTAATTGGTTTTTGTAGTATGGTAAATCTGAAGGTTTTGCGCTTTATAATAAAACTGCCATTGCGAGTGAGAAGGAAGTTTCCGATTTTATCGACAGTTTGAAACCTGCCGGTTTGGGGAAACCCTCAATTCTTAAATATGACGTTGATGGTCACTTGATTCTGGAGCATAGTAATATTAGGCCACACATGTTGGTAATAATGAACCATGTTGATTTTTATTTTTTTTTTAATTTTTTAAATTTAGGGCGATGTTATAGATCATGTCGATGCTACTGATGAGATGTTGATTGAAGGACCACAAATTATTGCCCAGATTTCGCAACAGTACCCAAAAGATAGTATTCCCAAACATTTAGCGATTGAATATAATAAAAAGTACCCGGAATATAAATGGAGGGTTTTGGTCAGTCCGGAAAATTATTATATTACCAGAGATGTGTCATTGTCGTTGTCTTATGACAATTTTGATTTGGATGAAAATAGTTATGTTTGGTACTTGGTGTATGGTGCCAAAAAGACCAAAAATTAATTTTAAATAAAATTTTTTGAGTGTTGTGTACATTTTCCATTACTCTTTTTTTTCCTACTTATTTTTTGTCAGTTTTATTTCTCTCATCATTTTTTTTATTAGTGACTATTTTTGTTTTTTTAATTTGATTTTTATTCCCATTTGTTTTTGTTGTTTTTATTTTTCTTCTTAATTGTTGTTTTCCTTGTTTATGACTTTCTTTTTCTTAGGTTTTTCATTTTTGTGTCATATTCTGCTTTTGATTTTTTCTTATTCCCTTTTGGATTTTTTTAAATTTTATCAGAAATTTTTTTTTGTAGTGGACTTATTTTTACCAATAAAATAGTTTTTTCAAATTTATATTTATAAAAATAATAAATTATTAAATTAACGAAAAAATGTTGACTCAACAAAGATTTGAACTTGAATTTTTTGAGTTTGGAATAAATTGTCAGAATTGCCATATCTGTCACTTGTCATCTTGACATCTTAATTGAACATGAAAAAATCACGTGTGCATTGTAATTAAGTATTCCAAGATTTATTGAGTAACGAAATTTTTTTTTGTTATTTTTCGTTTTGGAATATTGGAACAAACAAAATTAATTAAAAAATAAAAAAATTAATTAAACTAATTAAAAAATAATTTCGTACTTATTTAATCGTATGAACAAGAAAGTGATAAAAAATTAACAAAAAAAAGTTGACTCAACAAGGGTTTGAACTTCAATTTTTTGAGTTGTTACTTTGTCATTTTTTTGATAAATCAAGTGGGTATTAAAATTACGTTTTTCAAAATCCGATGAGTAACGAAATTCTTTTTCGTATTTTTTTCATTGTTTTTAGAAATAGTGATTTGTTGTCACAATTGGCAACAATAATTAAAACTTTTTGTCACATGATACCACAAATCTGGTCAGGTGATACATTTTTTATTCTAGATATTTTCTATTTTCGTAAACCAGAGCCAACTGTTTGCTGTTTATTTTTATCTACTTTAAAATTTTTTGCACATTTATTTCCGTTTTTTGTTTTTCTTTTTTAATTTCTTTGTTTTGTTTTTAATTGCGTACTATTTTTAATTGTTACTACTTTATAAGACTTAGAGAAATCACAATTTTTGTAATTGATAAAGCAACCGCTTTTGACCTAACACCTAAAGAAAAAAAAAATCGTAGCAATTTAATCGCATAACCAAATATTTGTAAAAAATTTAAAAAATTTTTTTTTCGTTTTGGAATATTGGAACAAACAAAATT